ACACACACACACACACACACACACACACACACACACACACACACACAGAGTCTTTCTGAATGGTCATATTCCAGTTTTTCAGAAGTGTTTTTATGTGTCTCGTATATAGATGTTAAACTCAAAATGTTACTTTAAAAAAAGAAAATCTATCCAACCATGGCCTGGTGCCATTCATGCTAAATTGGGGGAAAGATGGAAAGAGTGGTACAAATGACATTTGTGATAATACTAAATATTTTGGATCATCAGCCTTATTCAAATTTGTCAGCAACCACACAGTTTAAGGTTGCCCCCCCCTTTTTTTTAATGACATTAATGAAGCTCTTTTTTAAACATATAATGAAATAAGATGAATAAGATAAACATGCGAATATTATATATTTTTTAACAGACTCTGAATTGCAAGCTGAATTCCCTTTTAACTTTAATAAAGGAAATAAGATAGAAAGGCTTAGTTAAGGTTAAGGAATTAGTTTTCCAGAGGAAAGTATAGAATTTCAAATTACTGTATCACTTTTAACTAATGATTCCACAATGACAATCCATCAAAAGAAAACTTTTTAAAGTTAAATAATCTTAAGTGATTACTTTGCAAAGAAAATAAGTTTTAGATACATAACAAATGCTTTAAATATTTCCAAAATCTCTTTATCAAAAATGACTCAATAAATGGAAGGAATAAATTTTTCTTCATGAAGTTAATGAGGCTCTATTAATTCTGTAAATTATTACTAATCTTCCCCTCATTTGGAACTAGTCATTTCTACTTTTTTCTAACTTTATAAAATTCTGAGATATTAAAATCTGCCTGTAACAAAAGAATCAGTTTTTGATAGTATATTGATTTCCAAATTAGTAGGTAGTCTTAACATACATTAAAAACTACCACACAGGGGAAATTCAGGAAATTCAACTTCTTAAGCTTATTTATTATACTTACTAGATGAGAACTGTCTTTTACTTCTTGCACTTGCTGCACCTGCGGTTCAGCCACAACTTTAGTGTCCTGATCAGAAGTCATGAGCTGTCTACTTTATGACTCTTCAAAGAGAACTTTGCTGGTAATTTTCTTGTGCTATGAAGTAACAAAAAATGAAAACAGTGTGAAAAGCTGTACGAAGAATTCTGTATTAATAATTTTTAAAATGAATCTACTTTAGTAGTACACTACATAATAATATACTATAGATTACATATAGCAGATTAATGAAAACCCTGAAGCTGTCAGCTTTTGATTTTAAGTGCTTTGTTGGTAATGTTATTCGGTGTTTCAGTTGTGTCCAACACTCTGTGACCCCAGTGGGGGTTATCTTAGCTAAGTTACTAGAGTGGTCCGCCATTTCTTCCTCCGGCTCATTTTACTGATGAGGAACTGAGGCAAACAGGTTAAGTGACTTGACCAGGGTCATACAATTAGTAAGTTTGTCTGCAGCCAAATTTGAATGTAGGAAGAGAAGTCTTCCTGACTTCAGGCTAGGCTCTTTGTCCATTGTGTCACCCAGCTTCCCCTTATTCTTCTGTATCTTCTTTTAAATGTTCTAAAATAAAAATTGATACAATGTAAGTCTACTCAGTCTTAAGAAACAATTCACTGATGAGCTACTTTTGTGACTAAATACTGATTAAGGAAATATCCTCAAACTCAGTAACCATGCATTATTATGTTTAAGCATAATTCACATAATATTTACACTCCAAATCACACCAACCACCACCAACCTGTAGTTATATTTCCTAAATGAAAAAAGAATCACTTTAATTCCTATGTTAATAGTAAATTAAAAACAAAAACTAGACAGCTTTAATTTAATTAAAACATTATATTCTTAATATTTTACTTCACTGACCATGTCAACATTTGAAAACATACTTAACTTTTTAAAGTAGAATGGTTATCATGGTATGTGTGACTATTTAAATTTCTAACAATTTACCTAAAAGAATATAAGAACTTAACTTTAGGTAAGAATCTTGATATATAATTATAGGACAACAGATTTAGAGTTGGAAGGAAATTCAGAAGTCACTAGATTGAATCCTCTCATATAAATGATGAAAATAAGGCCAAAAGAGGGTAAGTGACTTGCACAAGGTAACACAGGAAGCAAAACACAGAACCAGTAATCAAATCCAGTTCCTCCAACTCCAAATGCAAGGCTTTTTCCATAGGGGTACACCATTACTCCCATAAATAGTAATTTAATGAGAGAAATTGCAGGGTGAGGAAACGGCAGAGAAAGTTTAACTATGGCTTACACAATGAAAAAATTATAGGAGGTGTGCTTATATAAGTGTTCCCTCAAATATTTGTCATTCACTACTCACCATCTTCCCTTGAGATTTCTTAAATAACAACTTTTAAAAATAAATGCTTCTGTGGATACAGCACCGGCCCTGAAGTCAGGAGGACCTGAGTTCAAATCCTGCCTCAGACCAAACACTTGACACTCACTAGCTATGTGACCCTGGGCAAGTCACTTAACCTCAATTGCCTTAAAAAACAACAAAACAAAACAAAACAAAACAAAAAATGCTTCTAAACATTTTCAGGTCTGATAGAAAATCAAGAATTTCAGAAAATCTATATATACTATTACTAGATGTCTAGAAAAGAAATGTAGAAATATATTTTATTTCATTGTATACTTACAGAAAGAACTCAATGACAACAATCCCACAGTATCATTGACCCCCATATACCAAACTACTAAAAGACTTAGGCAAAGTCTAAGCTATATTCTCATGTTTATGTCCAGAGAAATGAAAATAAGCCCAACTTAATTATATGGCCCCATTATGAAAAGGAGAAAAAAAATCCAAATATTTAGATAGTTGAAAAACTAGAATGTGTGAGCTATTAAATCTAAAATAAGAATAACAGGAAATACAATTAAATCAATGTCACAACACCAATGTTTGATAATCAGTATAAAGTTATCAAGGACTACAGTTTAATGAAGCAATGATATCTGCATGTCACTCACAAATTTACAGTGTATGTGTAAAAAATATACAAAATTTGCTACACACAACTCTAAAAAATAAATATTAAAGCCAGCATCCTCCCCATTTTATGGGTGAAAAAAATGAGGCTCAAAGAGTTTAAGTGACCTGCCCAAAGTCAAGTTAACGTTAAGACTTTTTGATCCACTTATAACAGCACTACCTATTCCTGGTGCTAATAAAAACAAAACAATTCTAATACTGAAGGAAATTACATTCCATTGGAGGACACAGATTTGTGCATGTGCACCTGCGCATACACACACACACACACACAAACACACACACACACACACACACACACACACACACACACACACACACACGGTATTCTTGAGAAGAAGGTACTGAAAAAGCTGAGGATACCAGGAGAAGACTCATGAAGATAATGCTTGATGAGTTTTTAAAGAAATTAGGGATTCTTAGAGACTGAGGTGAGGAAACTGATTCCAGAGATATGGGACAAGTGCTAAGGCACAGTGACAGGAAACGGAGATATGTTAAAACAGCAAAATGGTCAGTCTGACTGTTTTTGAGTACATGAAGGGGAGTAATGGATGATAAGTATAAACTCCATAACAGTTTATATTTGATTGAGTTTATAGCAATCCTGGAGTTTATATTGAGTTTGTTGAGTAGGATAACGTAGTCAGACTTACTCTTAAGGAAATTTATTTTGGCTAGTGTGTAAAGGCTGTACTGGAGAAGGGAGAAACAAAATATGAGACAGGAAGCATCAACAGGCAATTTTAGTAGTTCAAGCATGAAGTGACAGGAATTTAACTTATGTGGTAGTTTTATGAACGGAGAAGAAGGTACACATTCAAGAGATGTCATGGAAATAGAAATGGCACAATAATAACTGAAATGAGCAGCTAGGTGGCACAGTGGGTAGAGAAAGTACAGGGCCTGAAGTCAGGAAATCTCATCTTCCTGAGTTTAAATGTGGCCTCAGACATTTACAACTTTCAATCATTTTCCTTTTTTTCCCCCCTAATAAACTTAAGATAAAGTCTTCAGTAGGCAGCTAGGTGGTACAGTGGATAGAGCACTGGGCTTGGAATCAGGAAGACTCATCTTTATGACTTCAAATCAGCCTCAGACACTTATTAGCTGTGTGACCCTGGGCAAGTCACTTAAAGCCCATTTGCCTCAGTTTTCATCTGTAAAATGAGGTGGATAAGGAAATGGCAAAACACTTAGTATCTGGTTCAAGAAAACCCTAAATGGAGCCACAGAGAGTCACATGACTGAGCCAACTGAACAACAATTGAAACAGATGATTATCCACCAACTTCCAAACTGCCAGAACTGACACAACAGGAAATGAATAGTTTAAATGGACCAATGTCTAAAGAACTAGGTAGGACAAATCATCAAAATCATCCTGCCAAAAAAAGTATCTGGTCTAAACTCTTTCACAATAGGATATCTGAGATTTTCTAACAAAGAATCCCTGAGTTACATAGATTATTCATTCATATTTAAGGACAAACACTGGAATTATGCAACACTTTTGGGCAAACATGGTATTGATTTAAAAAAAAAACAACACTAAAATAAAATGGACCGTTTTAAATAATAAATGTTAACACAAAAATACTAATTAAATAGCCATAGAACACAGCAGTATGCTAAGAAAATTATTCAGGATGACCTAACAGGGTTTGTACCAGACCTGCAACATTGATTCAATATCACAAGACTTACCAACATCATAAAACATAAACCAAAAACTCAAATCCCACGGGGGAAAAAAACTTCAATTAAGATTCAATTTGCATTTGTTTTAAAAACACCTCAAAAATATAGAGAGATCTTTCCACAATACAATAAAAAATTATTTGTCTTATGTCAAAAGTTAATATAACATGCAATTGAATGACATAAGAATTTCTAATAACAAACAAATAGCAAGAATACTCACTGCTTTTATTTTGTATAGTATCAAAACTTCTAAAATTACAACAAAACTGAAGATAGTAGATGAATTAACATTAGAGAGGAAGAGATGAAAATGTAATGCTCTGTAGATGACAAGGAAGTGTGTACAGAAAATGTGGTCACTTTAAAAAACATTAATGGAGACAAATGAGTTTGGCAGTGTTCTTGGATACAAATTAATCTTTTAAAAAATCTGCATTTTTATTTACTAGTAAGAAAACATGATTAAAAAAAGAAACATCATTTGCAGCAACACAAGCCTATCAATTGTTAAGTACTGGACTTGGAGTTAAGCAGACTCCAAGTTTGAATGCTGCCTTTGTCACATATTAACTGTCACATGTCCTGAGCATTAAATAATAATTTTCTTCTAGCCTGTTTCATCATCTGTAAAATGAGGATAATAACAGTACCTATTTCATGAGGATCAACAACAAAATACATAAAAAGCTCTTTGCTAACAATGCATATTAGTGTCATTTATATATGTAATATATATAAATGTTACATATGAAGAAGGCTATAAAAGCATATTAAAATTAAAAGAGAATCTAAATAACTGGAGGGACATTCAACGCTTGTATATGGATCAGGTTAATACAGTAAAAGTATTCCCCAAATTTACTTACATATTAAATGCAACACTAATCACAATACAATGGATGGACTTCTTTATAGAACTAATCATTCACGGTAAAATAGATATGGGGGGCAAAAAACCAAGTTTCTATTAAGCACCTACTCAGTGCAGGCTATTATACTGAAGATACAGAGAGACTAAAGTAAGGAGAGGAGTATATTTCCAACATCAGAGAGGTCAGGTCAAAGGCATAGTGAGTGACACAGGAGTGTGCAGTGTGAAGAACAGATAGAAAGCAAATTTGCCAGCATGACAAAGAGTTTGGATGGAAGAGTATTGTTCATTAAGGCTGAAAAGAAAGTTTAGGGCTTAGTCGCATAGAACTTTAAAAGCTGAACAGAGAGTTATATTTCATCCTAGAGTTAATAGGAAACTCCTGGAGTTACTTAAATTGGGGATTCATGAGGTCAGAACTATACTTAGGGAAAATTATTTTGGCTGCAAATTGTTAAGGATTGATTGAAGTAGGAAACGGCTAGTTGCAGGAA